CCTGCTGTTCCCCCCCCCCCCCCCACCAGTACAGCCTTAGGGACACTAATTGTCTCAGCGCCCATTTCTGGATGGGCCTGTGCAGGGTTCAGACACCTGCACAAATGAATGAATAAGTGAATGAGCTCTACCCTTCTTCATCTCCCTGATTCAATTCATCTCCCTGATTCAAGTTTATTATAGACACTAGAGGCCTGGTGCACAAAAATTTGTGCACTCAGGGGGCAGGGGGCGGGGAGGGTTCCTCAGCCTGGCCTGTGCCCTCTCGCAGTCTGGGACCCCTCAGGGGATGACCACCTGCTGGCTTAGGCCCGCTTCCCGGGGGGATTGGGCCTAAGCTGGCAATCAGACATCCCTCTGGCAGCCTGGGAGCCCTCAGGGGATGTCCCCTTGCCAGCGGGAAGCAGGCCTAAGCTGCAGTCAGACATCCTTAGTGTTGCTGAGGAGGCGGGAGAGGCTCCCACACCACCGCTGTACTGGCAGCCGTCAGCCTGGCTTGTGGCTGAGCAGAGCTCCCCATGTGGGAGTGCACTGACCACCAGGGGGCTGCTCCTGCATTGAGCATCTGCCTCCTGGTGGTCAGTGAGTGTCATAGTGACCAGTCATTCCTAGTTGTTCTGCTGTTAGGGTCAGTTTGCATATTACCCTTTTATTACATAGGATAGAGGCCTGGTGCACAGGTGGGGGCCGGCTGGTTTGCCCTGAAGCGTGGCCCGGATCAGGGGGGGGGTCCTGCTGGGGTGCCTGGCCAGCCTGGGTGAGGGACTGATGGCTGTTTGCAGCTGGTCACACCTCCTTCAGGGGGGGGATCCCCACTGGGGTGCCTGGTCAGCCCGGGTGAGGCGCTGATGGCTGTTTGCAGGCTGGTCACACCCCCTTCAGGGTTGGGGTCCCCACTGGGGTGCCTGGCCCGTCTGGGTGAGGGGCTGAGGGCCGTTTTCAGGCTGGCCAAGCCCCCCGGTGATGGAAGCTCCCAGCCTCTCCTTTTTGTCTTTTTTATTCTGGGGTTTATTTATCTTCTATAATTGAAACTTTGTTGCCTTCATTGGAGCTCAGCGCCAGCCATGGCAGGTGGGAAGCTTGGCTTCCTCTATCACTGGGGCAACCAAGCCGCCTGCTCGCTCCAGCTCTGTGGCTGCCATCTTGATTGGGTTAATTTTCACATAGTCACTCTGATTGGCTGGTGGTTGTGGCTTAAGGCACAGCAAAGGTATGGTCAATTTGCATGTTTGTCTTTTATTAGATTAGGTTCGCCTCTTAAAACAAAAATGATAGTGACCCCCCTCAGGAACACATGTATCTTTTAATCTGCTTATTTTGGAAGCTTCAGATCCATTTCCTTGAGCCGTCACCATTTACCAAAACAGAATGGTCAGCTCCCCAAGAGAGTGCCCACCCCCAGTTACCTACCCCACTGGTGCCACGAAAGGCCCCCACAAGTCTCCTTTGGGAGAAAATTTTTAGGAACTGTGCAAAGAATTCAGGGTCATCCACCCAAAGTTGCAAAATTATACTGTATGGACTATCAGCTGCTATAAAAATATACACATACAAAAGGACAGCTACAAAATCGGGGTGCCTGTTTTTAGATTAGCATTATAAAATGTAGGGATTTCTCATTAAGGGGGGGCAGCATTATGATTCCATATTTAGTCCCTTCTCCTCCTTATTTTCATGGAATAGTCAGAGCACATTGAACCAGCCAGTGGGGAGTGGAAGGGGTTAATCCTGATATTCCATGGGCCAAGGTGAGAAATCCCAGGTTCAAGGTCACACAGTCATTCTGCTGTCAGTAAGTATCATGAGTCAGGGAAGGAAAGGAATATTTTAATACTGCCCTTGGGTCTCTCTCTCTCTTTTCTTAGTTCACTGCACGATGAATCACAACACAGTCATTGACTACAGAAGACGGGCTCCGGAATTTGCCTTCATGTGTGATCTCTGACAGCCACTGCACAGTCAACAGGCAATGTTCGATGCTTCCCACACAGGATTCCGTGGGGTGTGGCCCGCACACAGTGCCAGCAGGAAAGGCCACACAGAGACTCCAAGTTGGGTTCAGGCTCTCATCAGGTGTCCTTTCTCCTGGGTGAGAGGAAACACCTGGCCCCCATGCCTCTGTGAATGGCACAGGGCATCAGGCAGGGTCTCAGGCCCCCAGGATTCTCAGGATAGAAGGCTCCATCCCTTGGGCAAGGCCAGCTGGTGTTACTTGGCTCCACAAGTGTTGATGTTTTTCCCATCCATGGCGTCCTCCACGAGGGAAACGTGGTAATCGGTGGACAGGGTGAAATGAGAGATGCAGCCTACGAGGCCTCGCCGGTATTGCCTGTTAGTGTGCAAGGCGATCTCCTTCATTCCACCTGCCGGGGAGCCAGAGGGAGACGGGGTGAGCCACAGGGAACCGTGTCTCCTTAGGATACTTGAGAGTCTGCTGACCGAGGTGTTCCTGGGCTGACAGGCTACGTGAGGACTGTGGGTCCCTCGAACGGCTCAGTGCATTACATCTACTTTAGAACTATCCTTGAAGGAACAGGTTGACTTGGTTCAATCTGCTACATAGCCAGAGGCTATAAATACCTACACTGTGTGTGATTTCTGACCCAGTTGGCCACTTCAAACCAAATCTGGTGAATTTTGAAATGTTGTATAATATCAACAAAATGTAGTGTGTAGTTAGAGGTGCTGTCTTCTTAAGCCAGTGGTTGGCAAACTCATTAGGCAACAGGGCCAAATATCAACAGTACAACGATTGAAATTTCTTTTGAGAGCCAAATTTTTTAAACTTAAACTATATAGGTAGGTACATTGTTATTAACTTAATTAGGGTACGCCTAAGGCTTAGGAAGAGCCACACTCAAGGGGCCAAAGAGCTGCATGTGGCTTGTGAGCCGCAGTTTGCTGACCACTGTCTTAAGCTGAAAGAAATTCATGGATGGTGAGTGCTTTCAATTAAGTCCACCTGTAGAAAGCATACGGAGGGAGACATCTTTGCATATTACGTGTGTGCACTAGTGGGTTCTAAGCTATTTACAGAAATACCACTCATTCTACTTCAGAAAGGGGCCAGGAAAACAGATCCTCCTTCCTCGGAGGGAATTCTCAGAGCTATATTTAGCAGATTCCTGTTCTATAACAAGAAAAGCATGGCTTTCCTGGTGGATCCATCCAAAGCACAAAGGCCTCTAAGTGCTTCCTGCCCCCTCACCATGAGTCAGAAGTTCAGAAAAGGGAGAATGGACTCTCTGGAGAGCTTCCTATTTCCAAGCATTTGGCTGGTCCAGGGAAGCACACGGCTTGGAGGAGCCCCAGCACGGCCAATGGAGGGGTAACACCCAAAGGGCATAGCTGAGATCGGGCCCAAGGTCACTTACCCACGTACAGAGCTCCGTTGATGTTGAGCTGCCTCATCATGCCAGGTGATTTGCCTGTTCTGGCCCCGTAGTCATCCACAGTTATCTTTCCCGATTGACCGTCCCTGGAAAAATCCACCACCATTTCGGGAGTTTCATTCAATTGTTCAATTGATTTCAATGAAAATGTAGGGAAGGACCTACTCTGCACCAGGCACTATGCTAAAGATAGAGATGCAAAGATGAAAAAAAGAAGACAAGACAAAAAACACATTCCTGGCTCCCAGGAGTTTTAGGTCTCCTGAGGAAGACAAAACAGTCAAATTACAAATGAAACTCAGTGTCACCGCGGGACGGTGGAAGACCGCCAGCACGCTGTGGGGTGACAGGAGGCGGAGAGAGGGTCAGGGAAACCTTCCCTCAGGGAGTCTGCCTGAGATGAGTTTTGAAGGCTCGGTAGGTCAAGCACAGAGGAAGCTGATGCCAACAGGAAGTCGCTATGAAGAGAGAGAGAGAAGACAAGGGGTTGATGCAGACTGAGCACTGAGAATTCTGGAGGTGGGAGCTGAGTGGAGAGAGAGGAAGCCAGAGCTGAGGGTGCAGGGCACATGGAGCTTCGTGGGAACGTATCCTGCAGGTGAGAGGGAACCAGAGAAGAATTAACACGTGATGAGTTTTTATGTTATTCCGAGCACAGTGGGAAACCATGAAGTAGGTTTCACAGGTGGAGGATTACTCTAGGGAAGGACAAAGAATGGCTTAGAACAGTGTTTCTCAACCTTCCTAATGCTGCGACCCTTTAATACAGTTCCTCATGTTGTGGTGACCCCCATCCATAAAATTATTTTTGTTGCTACTTCATAACTGTAATTTTGCTACTGTTATGAATCGTCATGTAAATATCTGATACGCAGGATGTATTTTCATTGTTACAAACTGAACATAATTAAAGCATAGTGATTAATCACAAAAACAATATGTAATTATATATGTGTTTTCTGATGGTCTTAGGCGACCCCTGTGAAAGGGTCATTCGACCCCCAAAAGGGGTTGTGACCCACAGGTTGAGAACCGCTGTACTAGAGCAAAGTGAGCCTGTAGCAAGTTACTGTTGCGGTGGGGGGTG